ACTGTATAGTTTAAGGAGTTGTTGAGCTTACGAACATAAGTAATTTTTAACTTGATTAAAACCCCGATAAAAAAGTGACAAGAAAAATCATTTGCTCGCTGTAACGCGTGTTAAGCGATATGATAAAGCATAGAGCTGTACCAGAAGACCTTTGGTTATTATATTTCAGCTGAATTTTGAACTGTTATTGAATGGAGAAATCTAATCTTCGAGCATTTCCGGGTACGGCAGTACTATTCGAGACATCCTGCTGGGCGAATTTCGAGCAGGCGACAGTCAAACCTCTATTAAGCACGTTCGCGTTAATTGTTTCTGCGCATCCTTACTGCGCATAATTCACACGCAACGTCATGCATCGATGCGCGCGCTAAGTCCAAAATGAACAGTGATAGGGCAGATGGTCATTGCTACAGCTTTGCCTGGATTTAATGATTTTGGACGTTCGGTGACCCCCATATTTCTTTGATGGATCATTTTCTCAACCGATTTTCTTCGTTTGGCGAAAAAATAAAGAAAAACTATGGATTAGAAGTTTGAATTCTTTTGCAAAATGCACTATCGAGTTCCGTTATTTTTAGCTCTTTACTTGTCTGTGCGATGGTTTCAAATGCCTCTTGAAGGGTTAAGTTTGTGAAAACATTGGCAACATTTGGAATTATTTACGCAATAGACCCACAAAATATGAGTAAGATCGTTTCCCTCTTTTGACTATAAACCCCTGTAGACCATGCTGAATCACGTGACCCAATTTTTCTAAATCAGGGTAGTTTTCCACACGGTGAAACGAAGTCGGTGACCCCCAATTTTTTTGCATTTCTGACAAAAGTAACTCATTATCTGACTGCGGTAAAAATTTAAAAAATCTTTCGAGTGGAAGATTTTTGCGCGAACGTCCTTAAGCGTTCGGCCTCAGGAAATACCAGGTGACCGCTTAATAGAGGTTGACCGTTTAAGAGAGGTGATAAAAATTTAACGCATTATGGGGCAAAAATTGAACGAGAAAATGAAAGTAAGCGCACAATTAAAACTAGATCTATTGTTCGTAACATCTGGGGCGCGGAATATATCTCAGCCACGCACTTATTGCTAACCAACAGATTTTATAGTAATGTTGTTCGTAAGGTAAGCTAGGGGCGCCTTTGCTTTAAAGCGATCATTGACAGCTTTGGCATCTCATTTAACATGAAGTGGAAAACTCAGTGATGTTCGTCTGTGATTTAGGGTTGCATTTCGAGTAGCTTCATTTGGTGAAGCAAGTCATTGACTTTGTTCAGCGCCAACGAGAGTTCTTCGTCACCATAAAAGTGTGCTCCTGTTGAGCACCTAATGTAGAAAGGTGACCGTTTCACGGAGGTAAATTACAATAAAATTAGCCAATTGGGAAGTCCAAACGGTGACCGCGTCCTCTGAATATATAGTAAATATGTGAAGAATATAAAAGCAGAAACCAACACAACGGAGGATGATTTTTTTTGAAGGTGTAAATAAATCATCCCACGTTGTGCCGCGGTTTCTGCTTTTATATTCTTCATTTTATATGTGAAGCTGATTAGATCACAATTGACCCAAAGTATACCAGCAGGATCATTGTTCCG